CCTAATTCATTGGGAAACAAAAGATCAAATGATTTGGTCATCTATCAAGAATGCAGCTAAAACAACTACCAACACAGGCGCTACACATGAAAAGGTCAGAGGTGAAAGCAAGAGGCCTCCTAAAAGAAGATGGATTGATGATTAAAGAGCTTCTACATCGACACGGAATTACAAAAGCCAGCCATTGCTGCCTATCATGCAGTGGATTGCAAACTGTTCCTCCCTACAACGCTTAAAGGCAGAAGTGAAAATTAGTTATGTTGAAGACTTTTTTTTTTTTTTTTTATCTCAGGACTCTATATCCCTCTTCTCTTTTTGTATTACTTTACGGGCAAAACCAAGCAAATTGACAAACCAAGCAATTTGCTAACAGATTATAGCGTTTCAACATGATAGGGGCCACAGAAATTCAACACTCACAAGCAGACAAATTCTTTCTTCTGTATGTATGAGTGCCAGTAAGTACAAGAAAATATACCAGTCAACTCCTGCTGTGTACGTTACACAAGGAGACACTGGGATGGCAACTGTATCGGAGGACGGAGCACAGACGGGTTGGAACGATGTGCTAGGATGTCGACAACACGCAACAAATAACATTACGCCTTCTCCGTGACAACCAGCAGCATGACGATGGAGGTGATGGCAGTGACGCAAGCGTTTGCCTGGCTCGAAACACAAAAATACACCCGCGTATGTATACTAAGTGATTCAATGACTATGATCTGGAGAATTCAGGCAGGTTCAGTGCGAGGACACTGTGCTAGATCCGCTATCACTACCGACGGTCAGCCTATGGATCCTGCTGATATTATTAATGCCCTCAGAGAAATGGGAAGGATAGAGGACTTTGGTGGCAGTGATTCCACTTCACTCGCCAGAATGGCAGACTTGGGAATTAAGATCGGCATAGCAAAAAACGAGACGCACACCAGACACGCCAGAAGACTTGTTTGTTAATTAACATAGAACTGGTACTATTAGCAATAGGACGTTGGGGTTCATACTGAGGGGAGGATCTGAGCACCTATGGACATGTCCGGAGTGCAATGATGATAACCCAACTAACTAACTAACTAACTAACTAACTAACTAACTAACTAACAAATAACATTCCAATTTGCACAGGTTGAGTAGACCCGAGAGAGAGAGAGAGAGAGAGAGAGAGAGAGAGAGAGAGAGAGAGAGAGAGAGAGAGAGAGAGATGAGGTGTTTGTATATATATATATACTCATTCTTTCGGCCTTTGTAGAGACAGTGACCTAGGCGCCAGACTCACAAGTGGCAGGATGTTTCACTGTATGACTCCTAGGTCGACCCTGCCCTATAAATATGGAAGCAAAAAAAAAGTGCATTGAGGTTTATAGTAGAACGGAAAGGATGATTATTAGTACAACAAAGCCTGGTTTTTGATACAGCATCATTTAGTTTGAGAAAGGAGGTTTAGTAGTCTCCAGTCTTCCGCTGGCTGGAAAACAAGATGATTTTATGATTTTAACGGACTTAAAATTTATCCTCAGAAAGGGTTGAGACAAGTATGCTCTCTACAGAGTGGCAAGCATCGTTTTGGAGATCCGGGTAGCTAGCGTGGTTTGGATACGTTTTCTGGGTTATGAAGATGTGGGGAGAAATGAACAGTCAGACAGACTGGTTGATTCTACACCTCCTGGTGGTAAACTGTTGCATGTCACGTTCAATTTATAATGAGGGGCCTAGAATAAGTTAAACAGCAATACACGCCTCAACTGTCGCATGTGCTAAAGGACTAGTTTTTTTCCCGTTATCTTTCAGCCTTTATCTGTGGCTTAGGCGTTGCGAACGAGCTTCGTAGTAATGCCGAGGTGCCGGGTTCGATCCCAACTGCGGATGGTTTGTCTAGCATTGGTTTTGACAGTGCCACCGACAGCTGATTGTTCATAAAACAATGACACACTTTTTCTTCTTCTTCTTCTTCTGTTCCTTCTTTTTTATCTTCTTCAGCTTTCCGAGCCTTTGAGGTTCACTGTTGCAGATATCACCCGCTTCTAATCATCTCTCTGGTTGGCCTTCTCTTTCCAGTTGGGGACACCAAGTGTTTGCAGGTCTATCCGGACATTATCTCTCCGTCATCTTCTTGGTCTGCCTCGTGGTCTACGACTAATTAGCTCCCTTGTGTCTACAGTTTTTACTTCTCTGTCATCTGACATTCTCTCAATACACCCAACCATTTCAGTCTTTTAACTTATTATAATGACAAACTACTAAACAGCCTAGACACACCACAAAAGCCCCACAATTCTGGGGTTGGTTCTGCAACGTTCTGTAAAGGCACGCCCTTCTCTAATTATTAAGATATTTATATCTAAAGATGGCTGAGTGTAAAGGATACGCAGCTAATTTTCAGCCTCTTATATGTTCTTCTCGCTGGTACTAGACAGTTCTAGCATCTATGTGAAAGGATTCCAGAGTCTGTCTTTCAGCGTGTGTGTTTTGCAATTCGTCCTTTTCACTGTGCATCCCAACGGACAGAAAATAAATACAACAAAATTCAGCTACTGGCATGGAAGAAATCCAAGCTTTTGATTCTCGGCAAGTCTTTAGAGGGCAACGTTGTAATTTACACAGGTAGAAACGACATGTAAAAAGATCATGGAAAGGAATGATTAGTGTTCAACCTCTCCTGGACCGCACGACAAGCGACAAACACCCGATGATACAAAGTGCCACCATTCGAATGAGAATCACCCAGATGTATTTCCCAGTAATCACGTTATGTACATTGGTAGGTTGTACCCCACCAGGACCTCACATTAGCTATAAACACCCGGTGACACAAAGTTCCACAATGCGGATGAGGATCACCCGTGGAGAGAACCCAGAAACCTTGTTTATCCGTTAGACCATATTTGAGGCCGGGCTATATTTAGGGCCCCCGGCAAAAGCCGGGGGGGGGGGGAGCTTTGAAACAACTAAAAATTGCATCTTACAAGTGGAGGACAGACATTTTATAACTGAAACCACGTTCAACCACTGGATTATATTCAAGTCCTTGACAACAGCCAAAGTGGGGCTTTAAAATAATTTAAAATTGCATCTCTTGTTAGGCAGCAATAGGGTCTATGGCGACTTTTCTGGAAGCTCGTATGCTTTTTCGGCTCATGTAAGAGGTAGAATGATTCAGGAAGATTGTGGCAACTTTGCCGTGACTACAGATAGTTTATCTATGGAAGTCATGGCAGTGAACAATGCAATAACATGGCTGGAGTTACAGATCTTTACCTGGGTGTGTTTTCTCAGTGAGCATGCTCAGGAAGATTTGGACTGTCTATGACCTAGAACCACAACAACAGGTCATGGAGGCCTTGAAGATCATGAGCTCCTTCACCCAGAAGAAATGCCAGAGAGACCAGGCCCAAGCAGCTCTCTGGACACTAGAAATGTCCTTGAAAGGCTCGCCAGGAAAGACATCGACAAGGCATACATATACATCAATATGACGGTCTCCCTTATGTTCTTACTAAGTAGTATTGAATTTGTACTTATGAGGCATACATTTCTTTTACCACTGCCCATTATTTGGGTTTATGCAATATTTGCCACTTGAGGTGAGATGGTTCTCAAGAGTTGTATGGAACCAGCTGTGATGTACGGAAGGGAGTCACGGACAGTCAGAGAAAGTATGTGGCAACACCTTGTTGTGTAGAACAATAATGAGGTCACAATGAAACGAAGCAGATGGCTGAAGGATTAGAGCACTTGGCTCTCATGGGAGCCCTGGTTGTGATCATCAGCAAATGGTAGAGATTTGTTCCGCCGAGAGCAAAAATAAAATCCTAACCTGTCTAGTTTCTGGCGACTCTGTTGTCCAGGCGACACCGAATGCTCAGCCTGTATTCTTTCACACGTACAAAATCCCTTGGCCGTTGAAAATCGAAAAGAGTAGCCTAACAGCGAGGCCTGGGCTAAATTTGGAGTAAAAAATCTACCCAAACTATTTCAGGATCCTCACCGGTGCAACGGAGTTTGTGCACTGTGCTGAGCTTCTTGAGACTCAGACTTGAGTTAGAAGTAGAACGGAGCACAAATGGGTGACACCCGTGTGCCATGATGTTGATCCATCGACTAAACTAAACTAAACTAATCTAGACTGTCTGGGCATCAATGATTTGATTTGATTCAAGAACCGACATCACATCACTCGGGGCATTCCCATAAGCGCTCCGTCCCCATCTTCAGCAGCCAGCGAAGAGTTCCGATACTAATGGTGCCAGTAGCTTTCTGATTAAACGTCTGGGCATAAAGACGACGGTTAGTGCCTCTGTGGCGGTCACAGCTGACAAGGATCAGTTTCATTTTCGCGCTAGGGTATACGGGCATACAAGGAGATGGACAAGCCTCATTGACTGGTAAGGCTACTGTCATGAGTAGACTAGTCATGGACCATACCGATGTACTGTATGCTCTTCGGAAGTGAGATGATTGCGTAAAGCTAAAGATGACTCTGAATCTGTATTTAACAAAAAAAAACAAAAAAAAATGAAAGTTAAAAGAGATGTAACCAGACAAAAGTGCTGTACAGGAAACGAAAGAAGGAAAATAAACTTCAACAGAACTGGTATCATCAGCAATTAGACGCTGTGAGATTTACTGAAGGTGTGATCTGACATTTTTTATGGACTGAATGGTTTAATGAGAATGACTAACTAAATAACTAACTAACTAACTAAATGATTAACTTATTTACTTTCAGTTTGCTTTGGGTGTAGCTGAATTTGCACAGCTGTAAATCTATATTTATACACGTTTTTGAGAAACCCTAAAACATGACGTCCCTACGTGCCGTCTGCATCTTGTGTTCAATTGACCCAATAATATACTTTAGCAGGAAATATACCTCCTAGTAATCGGAGGAAGTTGAAAACAGGTCTGGTTTCATTCTCCATATGTGCCTTGTGATTGTGCAACAAAGATATGGAAACATGTTGGGACCCTCGGATATTTTTCCATGAGTATCACAGGCCATGAACGAGTCTACACCGGCCAACAAAAAATACGGTGTATTTTTGGGCCCAATAGTGAAAGGCGGGGACGCCGACCAAATTGCCACAAACGTGTTCAAAATGTTGCTGACTTTAGGCGTGAGGTGTTCTGAGATCTCTTGTGTTCTGATTAATTCCAAAGCTGGATACGTCAAGATTGAGGTGGGTAGAAGTGAGTGTGAGGACTATTTAATGAAAGTGCTCCCGGAGATCAAGAGCATCATGAGTCTGTTCGATCTGAGACTGATACTGGAATGTCCCAAGCACGTGAAAGTTGTCAGGATTCGACAGGTTGCTCACGCTAACAGTGATCAGGTGGGTTCTGTTGTGCTTAAACATACTTAAAAGTATAGTAAATGTAAAAACTTTTACTCCTACAGTCGGTTACAATTAGTGCACGAGCTATGCAATATTAAATGACGAAAAATAATTGATATTAACTTCCACAACCATGATAGAAAAAAAAAAACATTCGGCTCTACTTGCGACGCACGACTTATTTGGCACGGACGTAACTCCTGCAGATCTGCATGCTGTCTGATAAGTATGCGTGGTTGCGGTGGCTAGATGCTATAATTGGATGTTAAGACACACCGTGGAGCTGGGAGGACTCGATGAGACCGGCAGATCTATCGTGGTCGAAGTAGACGAGAGCGACTTCTTCCGACGAAAGTATCAGCGCGGTCGCATCCGTCACGGTCGTTGGATCGTCGGGCTAGTAGAGCGTGAGACTGGCCGTTGCTACTTGGAGCTTGTGCGAAAACGAGATGCGGAGACATTGGAGAGGATCATAAAAGATCACGCACTGCCGGGAACGATCATCGTGACTGACGCTTGGCGAGGCTACAGCAACGTCGCAAACTTAAGGCATGGCATCTATCTGCACGAGGTAGTAGTCCACCAGACCAACTTCGTCGACGTCGCGCACAGTCACATACACACACAAACAATCGAGGGCCTGTGGATGTTGGTGAAACGATCAATTCGCCAGCGACTGGGCACCAGTCGCCCGCTATTGGCGTCATATTTGACAGAGTTTCAGTGGCGCCACTCCCACAAACGTCAGATTGTCGGCCACTATTTCGACCTCTTTCGTGAAAATTTTCAAATCGAACCAGACCCCTAAACCCTAAACCCTACATTCTATATATTCCAGTTATTAACGCAGATAGGTTGAACATGATATTGTTGATTACATTTCTACTACCACTGTTGTCGGTGTCTTTGACTAAAGCATTGCGAAACCGTTTCGTAATGTCAGTCTGCCAGGTTCGATCCCAACTGTGGAGGGTTTGTCTTGCGCTGGTTTCGATTGTGGTACTTAGAGCTAACCGTTCAGAGAGCAATGACTAAACATAAAATTCTTCTATTAAAACCACAACAGCTAAAACATGCTATTGTTGATTCTGCAATGTTATGTAAACGATATGCAACTAACTGTAACTACGTTTGTACTTAACTAAGTCAACGTATATTAGAGATTTCACTACACCGATCTATAGGTCGGCTTCTGTGTGCATTTTAATGTGGAGGTTCCAGCAGACTGCCAAAGGATATTTCAACGTTCTACATACAGAAGAGTCTGCTTGTCCTGACCTATATGGCAAAGGGAAGTAAAGGGATGTAATAATCAATACTGGCTTAAGTGTAAGATAAATAAGCTAGAGCTAACGATGTGCACGGGCCTCAAACGCCACCCCCCCCCCCCCCCCCCCCCACACCCCTACGAATGCAATGTTGAAGCAATATTACGACTACCCCTGTGACTAATAACAACAAATTACTAAGGGGAAAAAAAAACATTTTAACATTTAAAGGGAATTAAAATAAATGAAGTGAAAGGAAATAAATCGCAAGAAAATTGATGATTCGTAGTATCGCGTGTGTAGAAAGCAACATGTTATGCGGCATGTTATTTGATGGCCAGTGACTTAATTAGTATGCTCAGGATAGAGGAGGGTTGGAGTCGAAGACAGTGGCTGGAGTCTCTAAAGAGTTCAGGACTGACGAAAATCAGTTTCATATTTGGGCCAGGGCACGCATGCGTGCAAGGAAATGAGTAAGCTGATTTGCTTGCAGGTAAAGCTACTGTGGAGGGCTGACGAGCCATGGATCAGGCACATATTCTGAATGCTGTACGAGAATTAAGACGTTTGCGAGCACAAAGTGATGTCTGTGAATCTGCAACAATGACCAGACTGCACGAACAACATGTTAAAAGGGGTGTGGCCAGACAAGAGCACTCTGCAGAAGCCAAAGGAGAATAAGAAACCAACACAGAACTGGTGTCTTGAGCCAATACACGCTGCGAGATTTACTATGGGGGATATCTGAGCACTTATGGACTTCTTCTTTTTCTTTTTCTTCTTCTTTTTCTTCTTCTTCTTCTTCAGCATCATCATCATCATCATCATCATCTTCTTCTTCTTCTCCTTCTCCTTCTTCTTTTTCTTCTTCTTTTATTCGCTTGAAAAAGATTATCTATATCTGCAATGGGGATAATCTGTCGACTAACTCACTAACGAACTAACTATCCTTTGATGGCATAATAAACGATTTTGCATTTGGGAAATCAAGAAAAAAGGTGTAAATTTCGAGCTTTATACGGGGTTATATAATACGATATGTGTGATTTTGTGAGCATATTCTGTATTACTTCTTTAAAAAAATAATTAATCGAAAATGTATTGGCATTATCTAAACAGTTTAAAGCGAGCATTTCACAGATAATTCAATATACCTTTTTCTACTGGTGTAGGCACAATAATTTTTAGTTATATAGAGCCAATGCGGTTGTATGGAAGTGAAACACAGGCAATTAACATATCGGTAAGAAAATTAATTAAGAGACCTGAGTTTTCAGTTCTGTAGGGGGAGAAGATAAATCCAAATGTTTGGTTGTGTCATTAAAAAAGGAAAACGAAAGTAAATCATAATAATGAGGTAGAGGGTGTCAAAATAACACTCCTGTCACGTGCCTGGTTTAAGGATTTCTCCTTAAGAACCAACAGCACTCAGAAATAATTATGTTGAGTCGTTGGCTCGTATTGGTCTAAGGGATGCCCCGTGGCCAATATACGCTCAACTTATTTCTGGAGTAGGGCAACTCAAGTTTTGGCACTACAAAATATATAATATTCCTAGGCACACTTGGATGGACATTCCTACTACTAAAAATAATTAGCCCCCAGGTTATGATAGTCTACTATCATAACCATGTTAACACATATAACACTTATTACTCACACACATATGATTGCTAAACAATTAGAAAGGTGAAACAGGGACACATAAGTCAGCCATGAAAATGAATGTATGTAATAAGTACAAATTATTCACATATTAAAGAATTGATTTTCAAGAATGTTCATAGACTCAGGACTCAGTGACACGAACCAGATATTGAAGCAGCCAGATTGTCTTGAGATGTATACTAATTCATCCCTGGAATTCCACGGAGCTGTGGGGAAGAGAGCATGATAATGAAAAAAACTGTCACTTAGCCCCGTTCATAGGTTGATGCTCCCCTCAGTCCATGGTGATTCGACTGTATTTGTCTCAGGTAGCTCTGCCTTAAGTTGATCTGATCAGAGAGGATTACCTCACCATCGAGGACACAGAAACTGTATAGGGACTCAACAAGTCTCTCTCACATGTCACAAAACTGTCTCGGTCCCCAACCAAGCCCCTGAAGACTGGTTCACTCCATCAATGACACAACCTCTGCAAATGTTCACTCGTCCTGGAGCTCACACACACGCTCTTGCCATGTTGAGGTAATGGCATACAGGGCCTGCCATGGTTATGTTTGGTACATACATTGGTGTTGGTTGGTGGTTGTTGGCTGGACTGTGATTCGTCTGCCTGATCTCACAGAGGTCTCATCCTGTCAGGAAAGAACTCAGAATTAGTAATCACCAAGAGGGTATCATCTTGTCAGGAAAGAACTCAGAATTAGTAATCAGCTTTCATCACACATCAGCTCACTCCACCTCTGCTCCTCTTTTACATTCCTCAGAGTGTACTCTCAAGACCAGGAGACAATGTCTCCTTTCATTTATCTGTCTGTAACTAGTGCAACAGATGGAAAGTCAGATATATATAGTGGAGATAGATAGACACTATCACACATAGATCATTCTCTCTCCCCCCTTACATCTGCACACAGACACCGATGTTTACAGTCAGTACCCATATATCTTCCGTCTCCTCAGGCCATTCACTACACACCCATTGATCTGTGTCAAACACACTCGAAGCAGCGCGCTAGCTGCCTATTAAACTGACCTACATTCTCTGTCCCAGTTAATACTGCACAAACTTCTGCTGCCTGGTCAGAGAACAATTACTTGTAGGGTTTAATATCTTTACCAATGGTGTGGGGTATGTAGAGCCCAATTAATTAGTCTGTACAGGAGAAGGTCTAAGGTTCGGATCCGGATCTCTGGACATCAAGAACGGTCGAACTCTGTGCGATCACATAACTGATACCGCTCTATCTACAGCAGTGACATTTTTAAAAAGACATCATTTATGGTACTCGTAAACTATAATTAACTTACCCAAGCTTAGGAAATGTCCTAGACACCAAAGGCCGCCTCCTCAAAGTATAAATTTACGAAGCCCCGTTGAACACATCTGTTCTCTAGGCAGTCAGGCAGAAATATGCCTGCTTCAAACTACGCTTGGCGTCCCTTGTATACATGAGCAAGGAGTAAACCGGTTTACAGGAATTTTCAAATAAAACACCAGAAATCGCCAACTTACAGTTGCAAGTTTAAAAATGAAGATATATCAAAGCAACTAGAAGGTCCAGAAATTACTATTTTACCAGATAAAGGTATAGATCAATATAAGGGACTATATACCTTTCCGGACGGGTCTAAGTTTGAAATTTTTCTGAGCGCGGGGGATATCAGGTCCCGACTCGTCCACTGTGTGTAGTGGCCGTTCATTCCCTGACAGAGGGCAGTGCGTGTGACAGCAAGCCGTGAACACACTTGATGACCAACACCAGGCTGCAGTCACTTAAACATGAGGAAGGCATCTTTAACCAGCGACAGCTTTAAGTCTATTGTCCACATTTCATTTGATTCCTTGTAAGCTGGGATCTGTACTAAAACCAAAGACCCCTTTTCACACGTTCATTGGGATTAGGTATATAGGGCTTGACCTATATTTTATAGGCCAATCGTCACTAGATAGGTGATGTGGTCAACATCAGGCTAAGCGCGTTTACTTCCCAGGACTTGACCTGGTACTTATTTAAAGTCAAATAAACTGATAGTCACTCGGTTAGTGTTGTGGTATACATCACACTGGTCGCCTTTACATGCAGTGTTGACAGGATCAGCAGTATTTACACACATACACACACATCATCATCCTTCATGTGCCGTTAGACGTCACTTCCCTCTATTGCATGCAGCTCTCTCAATTTCAGACATGAAGTTTAGCCTAGCATTTTTAGCTTCTCGTAACAACATTCTTCTTAATTTTTTTCCTTGGACGTCTTCTTATTTTCAGACCGTTTATTTCCCATTTATGTGTGCCAAGTATATGTCCCGAGGCAATGCTGACCACATTACTCACCTAGTGCCGATTGGTCTGTAAAAGTAGGGGCGCTCTTCCCGTATGCCCGATACGCCTAAAGGCGTGAACATGGATCGTTACTTTACTTACTTAGTATATCTCCACTTTCTTTGTCTTAATGAAGTCGATTCATGTATTTGTTCAGACATTTCTCTGCTGTAGACTGAATGGTTCGATGTGCAATGAGGATAATCTGTCGATTAAATTTTATACATATATCACTTCTCCTGAACAGTACTCGTTTTTGCTAACAATATAACAATACGATAAACATTTGTGATATTTCAACTCATCCGTTGAGTAAAGAATCATTATCCAACCGGAAAATGATTCTAGAATAATATTTGTAATACCACACTTAGTTTTAACGAGACTGTAATTTGGGATTAACATTTAGTTATTATATTCAACCCTTCTGAGTTATGTTTGAAATTTATACACTTTCTTGATATGGGCGGTGATACATGAGAAGGACATTAATTAACCGTCACGTACTAATGTTTGGATTTTTGTCATTTACTCTTACGTGAATGTTATAAGTATTATTTTTTGTTTAGATCAGCTGTTGCCAGACAGTTTGCTGGTGAATATTTTCTATGTATTTGTAAAGTTCACGACCAGCTTTAATGTTAACACTTGATATATTTGATACAATCGTTCTAGGATATCTCCGATGGGGGCAGCTCTACATATCGCCCTGGTACTGGAGAGACCTTACCCGAGTTACTGCGCAACACTCAGCCAATAGCTAAAGAATCCCACCAGCGCCCAAAAGCTGCTGGGCACGAAATAACTGTGAAGACACCTGTTAACATCACGGACAAGAGCTCTGAAACATCCTCGTCTGCGTTGATTGAGTTCCAGGAACTGGTTGAAGAAGATGACTCCCGATTGATGCGACAGGAAGTGACTTCCGTATCCGATATGGTGTCCTCAGACAAAGGTCACGAGTCAGAGATACTCCATAGTTCTAGTTCTAGTTCTGGAGGGAAGCCGGTGATGCTCAATAAAAAGACATCCACGCCAGCTGGACTTCCCTGTGATTGTCCAGACACTGTCTTCTATCGCCGGTTCCAGCAAGTCGGAACTGAGACAAGGTACTCGGAATTTAAGAGAGGCGGCGTCATTTACAACCAGCAAGCATTTAGAACTTTGATAGCTAAATATGTCTGCGGATTTGCTAATGCTGAAGGCGGCACTCTATTTTTCGGTGTTAGTGACGATGGGATCGTGCGCGGAGTAGCCATTGATAAAGTGTTAGAGAAAACGATACGATTAGACATCGATTTTGCTGTAGGATTGATAAAGCCACTAGTGGAGAAATGCGAGTACACTGTCAACTTTGCTAGAGTCGAAGAGGAAGAAGGAGAGTTCTCTCGCAATCTGAAGGTTCTAGAGGTTTGCGTGAAGCCGCGGAAGCCTGGAGCTCTCAGGTATTCTTATAATGGAGTCGGATACATAAAAAGAGATGGAAGTCTGCAGAAAATTAAGATTACCTAATGTATTTAATATTCGTCTTTAACAGTGTGCGCATGTAAACAATAATATGTATTGTAGTGGACATGTCTGAGAATACATTGATACACTCGGGAGAGGAAGATAGTTTTGTCGATCTTTCGTTATTGCAGTGTTACTTTTGTGTTTTATTGTCATTTCTGCTAATTTATACATATTCTAATCTTGAAACAAATTTGTCATAAGCTTTTATCGTTTATCAATTTCCTGTTATTGTTTTATAATGACTGCAGAAGTTGAAGATGCTATACATCATATGAAGAAAGGAAAAGCACCCGGGCCAGACAACATCTTACTGGAAGAAATCGAAGCACTGGGAAATTTTGAAATTGAAATAATAACTAAACTTTTAAATGATATTTATAATAGTGGGTATATTCCAAATAACCTTTTAAAATCCATATTTACAGCTCTGCCAAAGAAACCAGGCACTTTAAAATGTGAAGACCATCGCACAATAAGTCTTATGAGTCACATGACTAAGATTTTACTAGGAATAATTATGAGAAGAATAAGAAACAAAATTAAACCAGAAATCATCGATAAACAATGTGGATTTGTAGAAGGAAAAGGTACAAACAATGCCAGTGAATATATAATGATATCTTTAATTGATATGCCCGGAATTGTGGTTGGGGGCACAATATAAACGATTTACGTAATGCTGATGACACAGTCTTGATAGCAACAAGTCAGAAAGAATTACAGGAAATGATAGACATTGTGGTGTTAGAAAGTCGAAGAATGGGCATCAGTTTGAATAATGTGAAGACAGAAGTAATGGTGGTATCAAAGAAAAAAATTATTCCTAATTGTGTAATAAAAGTCAATGGTGTTATTTTAGGACAAGTACAAATTTAAGTATCTGGGCACATGGATAACATCAGATGGAAGATGCATAACTGAAATAAGAAACAGAATTGGACAGACAAAAACTGCATTTTATAAAATGAAAAACATCTTGTGTAATATATCCTTGTCATTGAGAGTTAGAAAAGAATTCTTGCTTGCTACATACATCCAGTTTTAACATATGGCTGTGAATCCTGGACAGTCGGTAGGCATGCCAAACAATTTTTAGAAGCCTCAGAGATGTGGTTTTACAGAAGAATGCTTAGAATACCTTGGACAGCCAAAAAGAGCAACCAAGTGGTTTTGAAAGAGGCGGGAGCCCGAAGACAACTTATCACAGACATCAGAAGGAGACAGTCATCATTTTTCGGCCATGTTATGAGAAGAGGGAAAATAGAACATGTTGTGACCACTGGAAAGATCTGTGTAAAGAGGGGCAGAGGAAGACAACGAGAGAAGATGCTTGACAGTCTTGTTACATGGCATGGAGGTGTGTCGGCACACGAACTGATACATGCTGCAGGAGATCGCAAATTATGGAGAGGCATGATCGCCCACCCAGTCGGCAAGGCACCTGATGATGATGATGATGATGATGATGATGATGATGATGATGATGATGATGATGATGATGATGATGATGCTGATGATGATGATGATGATGATGATGATGATGATGATGATGATGATGATGATGTTATTGTTTTGTTACTCTTTTTTTTTTTTTTTTACGTTTTTGGGGTATTTGTAATTGACGGGAGACGATAGGGGTGGCGGAGGGGAGCAGCACATAATCTTGAGTATGCATGCAACAGACTCAGATGTGGTAGTCTGATGTCTGCGACCATGGAAAAGGCCGGTGAACTGACTTGCAGCTGTCCTGCATTCTCGTATGATTGCTCACCCTCTGGGTACCTGGACCTCAGAGCCGTGCGATTACCACAACGATCTTTAATTTCAGTGGCGCTCTTTAATGTGTGTATATGTAAGATAACTGGAAGCACCAAGTGTAGGGAAGATATTGACATTTGCAGATGATGTTCCTGTACATCGGCACACAGCTTAAGAGGTGCCTGCAATTGTAGATAAAGTGACTGACTTGTGTGCAGATATATAAGTGCTACCACTAGTCCAGAAAAGGCAGCTGTTTTATAGTGTTCTCTTGACAAGAGGATTGTAAAAACCATTTCCCACGCCTCACAACTAATGAAGAAGTATCACAATCAGAAAGTAAACTGAGATGCTCTGTATCACTTTCGATAATGCCGCAAGAGGCTCGGTGCACTTGAGATTATGACAGCAATGGGCATGAAACACAGAGGATTGTTCTCAATATATCTACATTTGATAATCTCGATGATAGACTAAGGATTTGAAATGCTCACTGTATCAAAGAGTCAGCTGATTAAACTTGAATGCATACATTATGAAGCCATTTAGAGCTGTACACAAAGATATCACAGCAGTGTGTATGCGATACACAGTTGTACGGCCGATTATTACAGACAGGCTTAAAGGACTAAAAGCGAAGTCATACCTCAAAGTTGTCGGAAAAAGAAAAAACAACAACTTCTGCAAGAAAGCCTGAATACTGTGTGGGTAAAATTGGGGGGGGGGGGGGCGGGAGTGAACGGCAGATCCTTGATGGTCCAGGCTAAAAAGATAATGAAGAGTGACGGCAGCGTTAAAGTGATTAGCCGAGAAAACTAAAGGGTAAAGATACCAAAGGACGAAAAAAAAGTTGTACAAGGTGGTAATTAACCTGGGAAGAAAATGAGAAAATGCAGGAATTGGACTGCAGGACATGCAGATGCTGAGGTTCAGTAGCTGATAGAGGCCAACTCTATGCCAGGAGATGTGATTATATGGGTCAGTGGCCAGTACAAGAAAGATTGGACAGATCTTTATTACGAAAGCATGGCGTAGAAGGATGGCTGAAGATAGCCTGGCATACGACCCTACCACATCTAGCACGAGATTGCGGCATTCCCATGGGTGGAGAAAATGTCAGCCGTTCATAGTCATAGTATCGGTATCGCAGAGCATGTTCAAGAGTGTGGTTGCAGGTTTTCTTTAAATGGATTGAGTCGTATTAATCAAGAGGTCGCCGGTGGTGAGGGTTGCACGGATATTTTGTCCAGGCAATTCATTCGTATTTGGGCATGAGCAGGCAGATAAACTGGCTGGACTGGCCTCACTGCGACTACACAAGACAGAGGTGATCAGAGGAGTGTCTGTGGGATGTGAGCGCCACTCAAGACGTTAGGGAAGGCAAGACGAGTAGTTAACTGGATGACAACAGGTGCCATTAGTATGGAGACTTTTGGCTGACTGTTGAAGAAGCAGACGTCCTGAATGCTGGTTGACGCAAATTTGTCGGTGAGCCTTATGCATCTGCTTTCTTGCCTTTGCTGCTGCTTCCATCAACTAAGGAATAATAATTATTGTTACCGTATAGGTGTTGGCACCTCTGGCAGTTATCTTGTGCTTGTGATGCTTTTGTGAGCTGTTTGATTATCCTGTGACCAACTGCTGTCTGACTTTTCACATATGATAGTAATTGTCGTTTTATTTGCAAATGAACGGAACACTTATGGGGTGACACGAATTGGAAACCCCAACTGATAGTCTGATATCTTGATAGTATAAACTTTCCACCTTTGATTAGTGTGTGTGTGTGTGTGTGTGTGTGTGTGTGTGTGTGTGTGTGTGTGTGTGTGTGTGTGTGTGTGTGTGTGTGTGTGTGTGTTCAAGACAAGATCACAGCTGCCCGCACGGCACAGACCACAGATGAACGTGCACAGTTCCAAACACAAGACGCGCCAGATGTGCTCAGCACAAATGGCGGCGCCAGGTCTAATGGTGCTGCCGCATGAGATGTGATGAAGCACTGGTTATCTTTCTTAGGCCAATAGCGGCTCTGTCATGCAACAGTTTCTTGTTACATGCTGATGCCATCAGGTAGGTAGAGAGTTGTGTTCATATGTTTCGTACTTTTGCTGTATTATATACTTTTTTTTTTTTTAATCATTGAAATGAACAGATATTTCGCGTTTGCTCGACAGCTTACGGTGAACGTTTTACCATGTATTGTATAACATGAAAACAAAGAACATTTGGAACTTTGACAAAACTGAACCTTGATAACAACGATTTAGGAATATCTTTTTGAAAGAACTTGCATTCTCAGCAATTTTTAAAAAGTAGCGGTTTTAGACATCTGGTTGTCCATTAAAACCTCAAATTTTCGAATCAATACAGAATGTGTTAGGCGGGGCTATGTACTATCACTTGATCTATTCAATAAACACTGTAACACATTAATGAGATCCATACTAGGTCTGCCAGGAATGTCAATATATAGGCATAATGTAAACCGCTGGAGAGATACTATGATGTTTTAGTTTAAATAGCTGAATATGAAAGGCAGTTACATCTAATGATTAATATAATTGTAAGAGAACGACAACATATTGGTATTAATTAACAAAAGAATAGCAGGTGTAATGGAAATTGCAAAGAAAATGTCTCCTAACTACAAACAATAATGTCAATTAAAGCACCATTCGCAGACGTTTATACTTATACGAATTTGGAAGCAGTGTTGCCACTTTTCATTGACAAAAAACATCCAGAAATGGTTTTAAAAATATCTAAAAGTATCTAGGTTTGCGGTTTTCTTCTTCTTCGTCTTCTCCTCCTCCTCCTCTTCCTCCTCTTCCTTCTCCAGCTTCGTCTTCTTCTTCTTCTTCTTCTTCTTCATTAGAATACACACAAACTGCTGCAAGAGTATATAAGTAATTACAATTTTCCACTGCTCCTCTTGTTGCCGTTAAAGTCGTTTTATTTTGCGATCACCTCTGAATTTATATGTTTAATGTTTAATTAAGAACCGACATTATAGCACTTGGGACTTACCCGTATTTGCTCTGTCCCCATCTTCGACAGCAAGAGCGAAATTCCAATTCCTATAGCCCCTGTAAATGATCTTCTAACCTATCTGTAATTACTGTAAATAAATACTATTATGGCTTCATTCTATATGCGTTTGAGTTTCATTAGCTGACTCTGAAAGGGTAAGCATTCCAAGTCCATAGTCTATCGTCGAGAGTATAGAATGCTGGACAATTTGGAAATATTCTAGGCTTCTGAGTTGAGGTACAACACAAATAATTTTTTTCGTCAGTTATGTCTTCCTATTACACATACATTCTCTTTTACGTGTTTTTATGGATGTTTTTCCTTTTTCTTTTGGCAGCAAAGGTAACGTTACCTTTCTGTGGGACAAACTCCCCCCCCCCCCCACCCCACTTTCCTTTTTTATGTTGGCAGGCAAAGGTAACGTTACCTTTCAGTGGGACACCCCCCTCCTTCCCCCCATTTTTCTGTTCGAGAACCTCAGTGTTGCATGTTCATCAGTTTTACAGTTTAGACTCATCTATATGCAGACTGCTGGTTTCTTGCCTCTCAGGCAGATGCGCTCCGACTTCAAAGGAAGCTCCCAATTAATCGACTCTTACGACATGTTTTGGGTAGGTAGTGGGTCTATTCTTGTTTTCCCTATATTAGGGCCCCGAAGCCCACAAGGGGAGTTTTAAATAGTTATCTTTAGTTAGCAATTGCAATATCAATTTTGTAAGGTGTCAATCGTGTTCATGTGTGTGTGTGTGTGTGTGTGCCCGCACGCGAGGGAGTATGTGTATATGTGTTTTTAATGTACACAAATTCTTGATTGTTTATTTCTATATTCTCCATGCGATTGAAATCATGCATACTGGCCGCTAACCCTTTAAACATATAAGCTAGATTCTAGTTTCTCTGTGGTTTTCTGTGTAAAAGTAATAGACCTTTTCTCCACGACTTTAGCCGTAATGCACAAATAGGGCTGGCACTATATTTTATAGACCGATCAGCGCTCGTGTGGGTGATATGATCAGCATCAGACCATCCGCCTTTACTTCCCAAGACATTACCTGGTACCCATTTGAGGCTGGGTTGGCCTGGGAGCTAGGGTCATTACCGAAAGAATTCAGTGTTTCCCAAACTGTTCTTTCGCCGCGGCACCCTTGTCGGACAACAACAGCAACATTCGCGCTACAGTTACTTAGGAAAAAAAGAAAAAAAAAAATAGGTTCAGTTGCCTTTATCCAATAACTGAAACTGTTTGGATGAATTTTTCATTATTTCTGTTATGTTTATGGAAAGTTTTTTTTTTTTTTTTTTTACTGTACCCTCTTAGTTGCTCCTGAATACTCCTTGCTCCAGAACTCTTCTTGGCTTCTTTCATGCTATTTCTGTTTTGAATTGCTGTTTTCGCTAATTTCAAGCAGATTTTGAAAAAAAAAATTATACATTACTGCTGCGACACCCCTGGCATACGCTCGCGACACTCTCGGCATACGCTCGCGACACCCCTGGCATACGCTCGCGACACCCCTGGCATACGCTCGCGACACCCCTGGCATACGCTCGCGACACCCCTGGCATACGCTTGCGACACCCCTGGCATACGCTCGCGACACCCCTGGCATACACTCGCGACACTCCTGGCATACGCTCGCGACACCCAGTATGAGAACCGCTGCTGTATGTCGTTAAACCTAGATGTTAAACCTTTTCAACAATTGTCTGATTTGATATTCAAAATTCCCGCAGCCACGAAGTTGACCAGATGTCCATGTCTAGCAGTTTCTACAGTCCCAGTGACAGGCTGATCCTCTCTACTCCCTACACCGACCCGTTGGTTCATTCTGTACAGGAAACTCAAGAGATTCGGCACGTACGTTTTAAAACAATCACTCCGATTGTCCTGTTTCTTTAACTTATATAATAAGTGTATGAATTGTCTGTCTGTCTGTATGTCTGTTTGTCTGTCCATTTGTTTGTCTGTCTGTCTGTTTGTACGCCTGTTTGTCTGTCTGTCCGTTTATTTGTCTGTCCATTTGTCTGTCTGTTTGTCTGCCGGTCTATCTATCTATCCATCTATCTATCTATCTATCTATCTATCTATCTATCTATCTATCTATCTATCTATCTATCTATCTATCTATCTATCTATCTATCTATCTATCTATCTATCTATCTATCTATCTATCTATCTATCTATCTCTATCTATCTATCTATCTATCTATCTATCTATCTATCTATCTATCTATCTATCTATCTATCTATCTATCTATCTATCTATCTATCTATCTATCTATCTATCTATCTTTCCATCCATCTATCTATCTATCCATCTATCTATCTATCTATCCATCTATCTATCTATCTATCTATCTATCTATCTATCTATCTATCTATCTATCTATCTATCTATCTATCTATCTATCTATCTATCTATCTATCTATCTATCTATCTATCTATCTATCTATCTATCTATCTATCTATCTATCTATCTATCTATCTATCTATCTATCTATCTATCTATCTATCTATCTGTCTGTCTGTCTGTCTGTCTGTCTGTCTGTCTGTCTGTCTGTCTGTCTGTCTGTCTGTCTGTCTGTCTGTCCGCCCGTCCGTCGGTCTTTCCTTCCTTCTGTCTACCTATCTGTCTAACTACCTACTTGCATGCCTGTCTGTCTATCCGTTCATCCATTATCTATCTATTTATCACTGACCCACCCTCCACCATCCGCCTTTGTAACACGCATTCCTAATTCCAACGTAACGCGATCGAAACCCACTGCTGGCTGCGTGGATTTTTATCATGGAATGGGGCATGGCAGGTCGACCCAGCCTAAAGTGGGTACCAGGATGTTTGTCCTGGGAAAGTAAAGACAGCCGGCGTGATGCTGACCACACATCCGGCCTAGTGACGATTGGTCTGTAAAAAAATATGGGTGCTCCTCGCATTTGCCCGATGAGCCTAAAGGCGTGAACAGGGATCTTTACTTTACTTTACTTACACACAAAGGGAACGAACAGAGAGAGAGAGAGAGAGAGAGAGAGAGAGAGAGAGAGAGAGAGAGAGAGAGAGAGAGAGAGAGAGAGAGATAAAGAGCGATAGCGAGAGGAGAGTGGGAGAGGAAAGAGAAGAGATTAATCTATACTTTAACAGTACTTTAGTATATGAAAGAGTGGAAAGATTTTAATAGTTATCAAATTCCAAGAGCGGCTGGCCGAGTAACGTCAGGCTCTCATGTGGGAGACCCGGGTTCAACTCCCTGGTATGTTAGTTGCGTATCCTTTACAGGACGTTGCAGAACCAACCCCAACAGCCCCTGGCTGTTGTGTGGTTTTTCTAGCAATTTACGTCCAGTAGTTACACCCGGGTAAAGTGATCGAATTTTTCTGACTGGGGTGGGGCAAAATTAATAGAGGAAAGATTTCAACAGTTATCAAATTCCAGGAGCGGATGGCAGAGTGGTAGTAAGGTCAGGCTTTCGTGCAGACACGGGTTCAACACCCAGTAAAGTAATGGAGCTTTCCTGTCGGAGGTGGGGCAATATTAAACATCCTAACCTACACAGTCCTAAATCCTCAATGAATTCTGTCCGTATTCCATAGTTGTGGATTTTAAGCTGTACGATAGACATGGCCAATAAGACACCTTTATTTGGGGGTGCCTAGTTGACCAAGTTCTAAGTGCACTTGTATTCATGGCGAGGCGCACACGCCGTCTGGAGGTGACAGGTTCAATTCCCGGCACGGTAACTATAGCTTTAGATTTGTATGTTGTCTAGTTTGTTCTTCTATCTTTCTACTTCTTTCTATGAGTGCCGATCACTTTCTGTTACTTGATTAATTCATAAATCCTCAAGCTCACGAACCACTGTCTACACCGCCCTGAAAGAAGGTCAAACAGACAGTAGTGACAGCTTTCAAATTCATCTTTCAGTGATGGCCTCAGGTTCAGGAAATCGAGTACAGTACGGTGTGTTTGTGGGACCTCTCAGATGTCAGGACGTTCATCCTAACGAATTAGCCCGGCGCGTCTACCGGCTCATGATGGGCATTGGTCTCAGTGTGGAACACATTGACAAAATCAGCTTGAACACCGACAAGGGATACGCCAGGGTTGGACTGTTTGAAATCGACTGTGAGAACTATGTAGTTGAGGTACTGTTCTGTTCGTTCAACAAAACACATGCCATTTTCACAATGAAGGCTGGCAGCAATAGATCTTTAAATGTCTCATATTCTGGTTGAATATATACTCTGACAGAATGTTGTTTGTCCATCTCTTTATGTTGCTATCGCGTTTGTTTCATCTGTTACCTTCATCTTGTCTTGTCGCTATTTTTTTTTAATAGTTGTGATAATTCTTTTAATGTGGCTAGAATATTTCACCTGTCACTTCTCTATTACTTTCATAAGCATTCTCAGCAATTTTGTTTACCGTTAAGAAAGCAAAGGCAAACTACTTTACGTAAAATTTGCCTAGAAAAAACCCAACAGCCACAAGCTGCTCGGTTTGTTCTGCAATGTCCTGTTAAGGATACGCGACTAACTGTAACTTGCCTGTGGTTACAATATGGGATGGACATAATTGACTAACTGTTATTTGCATGTGGTTACAATATGGGATGGACATAATTGACTAACTGTTATTTGCCTGTGGTTACAATATGGGATGGACATAATTGACTAACTGTAACTTGCCTGTGGTTACAATATGGGATGGACATAATTGACTAACTGTAACTTGCCTGTGGTTACAAGATGGGATGGACATAATTGACTAACTGTAACTTGCCTGTGGTTACAAGATGGGATGGACATAATTGACTAACTGTAACTTGCCTGTGGTTACAATATGGGATGGACATAATTGACTAACTGTAACTTGCCTGTGGTTACAAGATGGGATGGACATAATTGACTAACTGTAACTTGCCTGTGGTTACAATATGGGATGGACATAATTGACTAACTGTAACTTACCTGTGGTTACAATATGGGATGGACATAATTGATTAACTGTAACTTGCCTGTGGTTACAATATGGGATGGACATAATTGACTAACTGTAACTTGCCTGTGGTTACAAGATGGGATGGACATAATTTTGACAACACTGACAAGACAAGTTCTAGTTTCAACAAGGGAGAAAGAAAGGATAATTACAACGAGAAGGTGTCCTCTTAATGCGACATCAAAGTCAAATGGACTCGACTGGCACAAGTCAATCTTTTCAAGTACTTGAGCAGCCTGATAACAGCAGACGAAAGATATCGTTCTGTGGTAGAAAACAAATCTAAAATAGCTAAACCGATAGCAGCATTTCACAAGTGGAAGAATAATCCAGTAATATCTCTCTCTTCTTCGGTGCTGTTTTATATGTACTTATTTCCTTTTTGAACGAAGCCAAGGAGATATGATTTTCTTTCCAGTTAAGATCAGTTTCTTTTCAGTAAAATGCATTTAACTAGCTGTACCCGGCTACGCGTTGCTGTGGCTCAGTCTGGCTAAATAGAAAAAAAAGCATGCGTGTCTATTATGGTTGATTTCACAGTCGACGTCTGCGCAGATATAGAGATAGTCTGGTTTGCCTAGTCTAGAACACGCAACATATAAGTGTGTCTTTATATTAGTGGTCTGATAAATTGTATTATTAAGACTTTAAAAAAGTTTTTTTTGGTTATCACATGCTAATGATTTTTTTAAACTGCTGTACTTCTAAAAAACCAACAAATTCGAACACACACAAAATGAGAATATCTGACGCAGCGTTGTTAAAATATAAATAATTTAAAAAAATGAAAACTTTAAAATCATGTTTTATGATTTCATTTACTTGTTCGGAACGCTCAGAGGACTGTATAGAACCTTAATAGTACCGACTCATATAACGACTTCCCAACAGGGGGAGACGGGCACGGACAAGAACGTACATAAGAACGAGATCCCAAGGACAGAAGACAGGACATAATATCCACGGGAAAAAACTCGCACATGGCATGTTTGAGTACAACCAACAATACACTGGAAGACACAATAATTGCCACATAAAATGAAAACCTCATCAGGAACACTAGACCAAAGTGGAGGACCCAGATTTGTTCATAGCTTTCGATTTTTATGTTGTCTTGTGTCTTCTTCTTGCGTTACTTCGTTCCTCTACATCTTTGACTACTAATCAACAGGTATGTTTAGTTATCAAGCTGTTTCAAGGATTTAAACTGGTTTATATTTTCGTTTATTAATTAATAGTAATTACGTAGAAATTAATCATTCATTCCCCGTGTGGGTTCCTGGGCTCCATTGTGAGAGAAAAACAAGAATAGGCCCACTTCTTTCCCATCAAGCATGACGTAGGGGTTGACTAATTAGGAACATCTTTCCCACTTCTTTCCCATCAAGCATGTCGTAGGGGTTGACTAATTAGGAACATCTTTCCCACTTCTTTCCCATCAAGCATGACGTAGGGGTTGACTAATTAGGAACATCTTTCGAAGTTGGAGTGCATCTCCCTAAGAGACCAGGAACCAACAATCTTCATAAAATAAGTCAGAACTGTAAAACGGATGTGCATGCATAACGCTCAGGTTATGGGACAAGACTAATGTCCAGAGGTGGAGAGACAAGCAAAACTTTCCGCCGGAAGTTACAAGCGGTGAACGCGAAGAAGAAGACTCGTATACTATTACCTCTAGAGACTATTAATTTCGGAATTGATTGCCATGAATTTCTTTGACAGCGCTGCGGGGAATTTAAATATTTGACTGGCATTTGTGACCTTTACCAGCTGACAACTAAACCGCAGTATTTCCGAGTGATAAGGTTACAGCCGTACACTGATGAATTTATGGTAAGTTTTACCGAATGATCAGGTTACAGCCATACACTGATGAATTTATGGTAAGTATTTCCGAGTGATCAGGTTACAGCCATACACTGATGAATTTATGGTAAGTTTTTCCGAGTGGTCAGGTTACAGCCATACACTAATGAATTTATGGTAAGTTTTTCCGAGTGATCAGGTTACAGCCATACACTGATGAATTTATGGTAAGTATTTCCGAGTGATCAGGTTACAGCCATACACTGATGAATTTATGGTAAGTTTTACCGAGTGATCAGGTTACAGCCGTACACTGATGAATTTATGGTAAGTATTTCTGGGAGATCAGGTTACAGCCGTACACTGATGAATTTATGGTAAGTTTTTCTGGGAGATCAGGTTACAGCCGTACACTGATGAATTTATGGTAAGTATTTCTGGGAGATCAGGTTACAGCCGTACACTGATGAATTTATGGTAAGTATTTCTGGGAGATCAGGTTACAGCCGTACACTGATGAATTTATGGTAAGTTTTTCTGGGAGATCAGGTTACAGCCGTACACTGATGAATTTATGGTAAGTATTTCTGGGAGATCAGGTTACAGCCGTACACTGATGAATTTATGGTAAGTATTTCTGGGAGATCAGGTTACAGCCGTACACTGATAAATTTATGGTAAGTTTTTCTGGGAGATCAGGTTACAGCCGTACACTGATGAATTTATGGTAAGTATTTCTGGGAGATCAGGTTACAGCCGTACACTGATGAATTTATGGTAAGTATTTCTGGGAGATCAGGTTACAGCCATACACTGATGAATTTATGGTAAGTATTTCTGGGAGATCAGGTTACAGCCGTACACTGATGAATTTATGGTAAGTTTTTTTTTTTTTCGATAGATCATGTTACAGCCGTACACTGATGAATTTATGATAATTATTTCTGGGAGATCAAGTTACAGCTGTACACTGATGAATTTATAGTAAGTTTTTCCGAGTGATCAGGTTACAGCCGTACACCGATGAATTTATGTTACGTTTTTCCTAGTGATCATTTTACAGCCGTACACTGATGAATTTATGGTGAGTTTTTCCGAGTGATCAGGTTACAGCCATACACTAATGAATTTATGGTGAGTTTTACCGAGTGATCAGGTTACAGCCGTACACCGATGAATTTATGTTAAGTTTTTCCGAGTGATCAGGTTACAGCCGTACACCGATGAATTTATGGTAAGTTTTTCCGAGTGATCAGGTTACAGCCATACACCGATGAATTTATGGTATGTTTTTCCAAGAGATCAGGTTACAGCCGTACACCGATGAATTTATGTTACGTTTTTCCTAGTGATCAGGTTACAGCCGTACACTGATGAATTTATGGTAAGTATTTCTGAGTGATCAGGTTACAGCCGTACACTGATGAATTTATGGTAAGTTTTTCCGAGTGATCAGGTTACAGCCGTACACCGATGAATTTATGTTAAGTTTTTCCGAGTGATCAGGTTACAGCCGTACACCGATGAATTTATGGTAAGTTTTTCCGAGTGATCAAGTTACAGCCATACACCGATGCATTTATGGTAAGTTTCTCCAAGAGATCAGGTTACAGCCGTACACTGATGAATTTATGTTAAGTTTTTCCTAGTGATCAGGTTACAGCCGTACACTGATGAATTTATGTTAAGTTTTTCTAGTGATTTTTCCTACTGATGATCAGGTAAGTTTTCCAAGTGATCAGGTTACAGCCGTACACTGCATGTTTAGGCATTGTATTAGTCAACAATTATATCAAGTATATCAACATCATAAAATCTTTTTATAATGAAACACGATGCTGTGTAAGAACTGATTCCGGCAATTCTGACTGGTTCCCGGTGGAAACAGGAATGAAGCAAGGCTGTGTCCTATCGCCGATGCTTTTTGGTATAGCAATCGACTGGGTCATGCGCAAGTGCATAAATAACGCAAATTTAGGCATTACATGGGTTGACAAAATTCTGGAAGACCTAGACTTCGCCGACGACATAGCACTCCTGAGTTCAGAACACACAGACGCCCAAGAAAAAATCAATCGATCCAGAATTTCTCAGAACAAATTGGACTCCAAATTAACACCGCAAAAAACAAAATTCTAGACCTTACCAACAGTTCAGTTGATATCACGCTGAACAACAACAGCCTGAAAAAGTCAACAGTTTCACTTATCTAGGGAGCAAGATGTCATCTACAGGAGATACCGCACCAGAAATATCATTTAGAATAGCACTGGCATCTAGTGCCTTCAATAAACTGTCTAACATCTGGAAATCAAAGACACTTAGCAAACACACAAAACTCAAGATTTTCAATTCTTGTGTGATTCCAGTACTAACTTATGGATGCGAGAGCTGGAAATCAACGAAAACTCTAGACACAAAAATTAGACAGTTTTGAAAATCAAATGCCTTAGAAGAATACTAAATTTCAAATGGTCAGATTTCCGAACCAATACACAAATAAGGCAAGAATCCAGGAAGAGTATGTGTCTAATTTTATACGAAAAACGCCGCTGGAAACTATGTCGGCCCACGCCCTTAGAATGGATAAATCAAGACTTCCTTACCAAGCCCTCATTTGGACACCACAGGGGAAAAGATCTCGTGGAAGACCAAGGGAAACCCTACGTAGAACTATCATCAGGGAAGGCTCGCTCATGGGCCACTCAAACATCCAAGACCTACAACGGATTGCAACGGACCGCCGTGCATGGAGAGTGGCGACCTCTGCCCTATGTGCCGCACTCGACACACTAGGAAAGACTAACTAACTAATTAGTCAACAATGATAAAGGATTGTTTTAATATGGATCAGTTCTACCTTTATCGCATGTAACCACTTGGGAGCTTCAGGGCGCTAATTAGACCTGCCTGGTTAGCCACAAAGAGCTCTAATAAGATGACAAACAGATAGACACATGGATGCTTTGACCATGCGACACAAGCGGAGCAAGAACCCAGATTTGTTTTGAGATTGGTGATCGTGCGAAAAGGCAACAATCAAAACTTAGGCTTATCGGTATGGCACACGATGATGATAGCTAGGGTTACCACAATATCTTGAACTGAAAACGGGACATCCTAATAATATCTTGAACTGAAAACGGGACGTCCTATTAATATCTTGATCTGAAAACGGGATATCCTACTAATATCTTGATCTGAAAACGAGACATGCTACTAATATCTTGATCTGAAAACGGGACATCCTACTCAAACTGTGAGCTGAAAACGGGACGTCCTACTTAAATAAAATGCAAAGGTGAGTGGACTGGCCGGGTTTTATCCCATATAGAACTCAGTAGCTCCCGTGATGATCCAAAAAAAGCTCAAAAATTGAGCCTGTGAACTGAACGGCGCCACTAGGAAACGAACCCACGACCTTCAGAGCGCGAGGGAAACAACTTGGCCACGGAGACCATAACCATTCTAATAAGAAAGGCACTTCCAGCCCCCCCCCCCCCGAATTACCTCACATCCCCCCCCCCTTCCCTACCTCTCCAGGCCACTGAGTTGACAATGCACTCAACAATGCTTTAATAAACTGAACTATTGTCGCCAAGAAATAAAAATATACTCTTTAATTGCACTGTGGACAGAAAAAAAAAAAAAAATACAGCGAAACTTTCCATCAACACATTTCTGGCGTTAACAAAACTTAAAAACTATTATTCCAATAACGTCAACAGATAACACTATAAATTTGTTTATATTCTAGATCGAATTCCTAGATTTTTTCGAACACGGGACAATTGTCGTTTAGTTACCTACTTAGAAAACGGAACTGTCCAGGCGAAAACGGGACGTCTGGTCACCCTAATGATAGAAACTGTTCTCGTGATTCAACCTCTTGACCCTGAGATGTCTAGCTGATGGTGTGTTAGAGTGGGCTATGTTGTTCATTCCTGGGCTAGTTGCTACCGTTAATCTAGGAGCCAATCAAGCATCAACATCTCAACACTAGACTGTACCCAGGCCAATCAACAGTCCAGGATATGTACTAGTGTGGCTAGCAAAGTTGCAGCGGCATGGCAAGAATACTCCTCACGGATTAGGGAGACAAACGGAAGACCATTTATTATTGAATGTTGAATTAGGTATCGACATCACAGCACTCGGGATACTCCCAAAGTGCCCAGTCCCCATCTTCAGCAGCAAGTGAGGAGTTCCAATCTCGATGGTACCAGTAACCGTCTGATTGTATATCCGTCTCATCCTTCCCCTGAATGTTGAGCTTCAGCCAGATCCCCTGGTAAGTGACACTGAAAAAGTACTTTATACAAAGCAAACAGAAGGGCCCGTTCTAGAGATCTCTTCGTGCCCTGACGCCTCGAGGTATTCCAGGGGTAGAGAAAAGAAGAAGAGGAAGTGATGTCGATTCTTGAGTAAGTTTCAAATGTGTATGATCATCTAGTCTGTCCTCATTTCTTTACTTCAATCCTCTAACCCTTTGACTGCCAATCAATACATTTCAATTTGCTCTCCAAAACGGTTATTTGGAAACTTGTATAGTTTTTTTTTTTTTTTTGCCAGGCCCTGAACACTTTCTGGAGAAAAATCGTGCACAGCATCCACAACCACACGTACGACGTTATATTTGACCCACACATAGATGACAGATCAGCCGCGCTCAAACAAACTCAAGCCCAACCTAAACCCCCTGAGCAAGTCCACGCTACCACAGAGATAACTAGGTCATTCACACGTTTACCCAAAGTGTTGCCAGACGTAGAAGAGGATAAGCCGGTAATGATCAGCGAGAAGACTTCTACTACGGTCATAGAGCCCTGCTTCTTTCCGCATAGAAGATTTTATCTGGCATCAGAAAACACAGAATGGCCTGAAAAAATGTTGTCTTTCTAAAGGAGGATCCATTGTTGGATAGCATGAGGTATGAAGCAACACGTTTAGTTTAATTTGGTTATTACTAGTTAACGACTCAGAAGCTTGCCACAGACTGAAAACAGTGGTGTCGGAATAAAAAGCTT